TATACAGACCAGATCTCTGAGGAGCTCGGTGGAGCCCTCCTCGGCAACAGGCCACGCCCACAGGAAGTCTCAAATATAGCAGCTTTGTTTATGCTGCCAGAGCATAAAAATAGTTTTGTTCAGATTATTGTAATTCAGTTTACATACACATAAGAAGAATTAAACTTGTGGACTCATGCCTGAAAAACAAACCAGGATATAAAATCATTCATCATGATTTTCTGATTTGGATGTAACTATACTTTTAGATAGCCTTTTGGTTTGTTTGTTTATTACACTAAGAACTGAGCTAAATTGAATAAGGCTTTGGTCTTCAGCACCAGTTTTCGTATCCTTGTTGTCTTTGCAGGTTTGTGGGTGGTGGTGGTGAGAGCTGCAGCCTCATCTCAGAAGGTCTCAGTACTGCCCTACAACTTTTTGATGACTTCAAGAAGATGAGAGAGCAAATGTAAGTGATCATGAGGGGTGGGGGTAGGTGGTGATGGAACAAAGGGCAGAAAATGTACAAGTATGTACAGTGAATGTGCTTGAGAGCACCCATCTGTTTTTAATATTAGCACAAATGGCCATGACTCATGTTGGGGTTGATTTTGTGGCTGTAATTTTTATGCAACTGGAATTGTTCTACACTACCAGGAATTAGATTAAATAAAATGATTTTTTAATTGTATCTTTTAGATACATTTACTTCAGTAAATCATGCAGTGTCTAAAATGAGAGGTTATGGCATAAGAATTGTGCTTCTGCCGCTGCTGTAATTTTCCTCATGCAAATTTGTTTTCTTTTAAAGTAATGCTACATGCTTTCTTCAAAGAGCTTATAGTTTCAGGGGTCAATTCATGAAAATAGGAGCCTTAATATATGTAATATTTGATCTGTTTACAATTTTAGGGCAGTGAAGAAGTAAAGTAGATTGATAAAACAGTTGACATAGCTCTTGAAACAATTGCGATATAGGAAATCTGTGATCCAGTATATTAGCACTTAAAAAAAATTAAAGCAACTTATTACCAGTTTGATCAGAGGCATGTGGAAAGGAATATTACATTTTCCACACCATTTTATGTGTTTAAGTGCCGCCCTGCTAAAACTGCTGTGAACTATGAAGCAGGAAAATCCAAATAGTGTGGAGTTTAAAACCACCCAGTATGCAGATAAATTCCATTTCATTCATAATCATACTAAAGAAATATTATGCTTGGTTTGTTAAATCTCTCACTCAGGTGTGGTATTTCTTGAGACAAGATAGTCCCATCCAGAAACATTAAAATAAAGGGCAAATTTGTAACATTGTTGCCTGTGTAGCTTACTTTCTGCAGGTAATCCTAGATTTACAACCATTTGTTTGAGAGTTACAGTGACCACTGACAAAAGTGGTTATTAATTGGTTCTCGCACTGGTGTCTGTTATGACTCCTCATTATCATGTGATCAAAATTGGCAACCAGTATGTAATTATGACAGTTGCAGATTCCTAGTCATGTGATCTCCATTTGCAATCTTTCCAGCTGGCTTCTGATGAGCAAAGTTAACAGGGGAAGCCAAATATCAGACATGACCCACTTAATAACTCTTGCTTAGCAAAGAAAATTCTGTTCCCGATTGTGTTTGTAAGTGAGGGAGTACTTATAATAATGCACTGTGTACTGAATGTGTAATTCCCCAATTTTCATTCATTGTGTCCTTTTTTGCGCTCTCTCCCAAACAGAGGTCCCACACATAAAGTCTGCATCCTCATATGCAACTCACCCCCATACCTGCTTCCAGCTGTGGAGAGTACCACATATTCAGGCTATACAACAGAAAATCTGGTTCAAAAGATTGGTGAGGTGAGTAAAAAATATTCAGTAGCCATTACTCGTTTTATTTGGGTAAGATATGTTAATGCTGCCAACCATTCCTCCATCTTAGTGGTCCCCAAACCTTTGCGCACCAGGGACCGGTTCCATGCAGAGAGGCTTTTCCATGGACCGGGGGGTGGGTTTGGTTTTATATATATATATATATTTTATTTTCAAACAAACATAAACATGCAAAACCTCTTCAACTACATGCAGTGTGTCGATTGGTTATAAAATCTTTCTCCATCCTTTCCATAGTCCTCACTTGAGCTTTATCAAAAATCACTTATTGTCAATCAAATATCTTTGTATACATTATTATTGTACTTCATTTGTTTAAACATCACTATTGTTTCACCATTTTAAACAAAGTATTCTAAATATGTATCTTTTTATATTATAATGATTCATTATATCATCTTCAATATATCTAATAATGAAGAATTTTTTTGTATCCTATTCTAAATCATTCTATTATTTTAGCATTAACAACATTCTCTAATAATTTTCAATTCCGTGTTTTTTCCATTATTAGTATCATCAATATAATGTACATTTATACAAATTATTGTAATTGTTAAACTTCAATTAACCATAGCTATTATTACATCCTTTTTATGTGAGGCATATTAAATTTGAAGTAAATGATGTAATGCATTCCATAACATCATCCTGAAATTATCCAATGATATTACATCTTTCTATTCTATATAGAATTATTTATCTTTTATAAAAAGACTTTTCAACATTATCTCCATTATCATCACTTACAGTTTATATAAAATTTCATATTATCAATCTAGTATATATAAATGCTTTATTATCATTATTAATCATTTATTTGACTATAGCTATTATTACTTTATCTTATACATAATACAAAGTTTAACTATATTTAACTAAATTTTATTGTGACATTTCATTTCATCATCCTATATCCTTCCAGAAATAATGCAGTCCAATATCTCTTGCCATTTGTAGAATCTGTATTCTAAGTGTTTTCTTGTTAAGTCTTATGTGGACTTCTCTTGACAACTTGTTTTTCATTGGATATCTTATAAGAATTCAAAACCCTCCATCTGTTCCTTTCCTCTGCTTGACTTTTTTATCACTGGAGCTTCTGCCGAAATTACTCTCATTGTTTCTGCCAAATTTTCTCTCCTTTCTTCATCTATGTTTTGACATCTCAGAGTTCCAGTTCATCGCTTTCCTTTCCGTATTCCACAAACATCATTTCCCTCCACACTCGATTTGCCGTCAATGTCAACAATTTTCTTATTACTTTCATATGTCTTTGTAATTTTTTTGTACTTTGTTCTCAAATTTCATCGTTGTTTTATAAGTATTCTCAACTCTTCCCTCCATACTTTCTGTATTTTGATATTTTGATCTATAAATTCAAGACTCTTTTCAATTCTCTCTGTAGTTATTAAGAGTTTTTGAATTTCTAACATAATATTTGCAATGTTAGTTCCTTTTCTTCTTCATATAGTGCCATTTTTCCAAGTTATAAACACTGCCACTAAAACATCCAAGGCTTTTGCTAGGTTTCAGACAAATTCAGTGAAGCTTTTTCCACTGACCCTTTCAGTAAACCAAGCCGATAGCTTTATAATATCAGATGTTGCCAAGCCTCTAGCCACTAGATGGCAGTGTTACATCTTTTCCCTCTGTTTTTGGCTCTCTTTTCTAAACTCTGAACTCCGGAAAGGGCGGGTCTTGATATCGCTACGACACACAATCTTGGGGCTCCAGGATTGCTGTCGATATCTCTGTTGCTGGACAATCCTTTTTGGATCTAAACCATTCTGAAGGTACGGTAATAGTGAAGGGCATGTCCTGCTGATCTCAGGGGCATCGCAAAGTCCCTGATTGATCAAGGAAAAAGCTCTTTTTGCCAGCTACAAGAGAAGCAGCCAATATGGCTGCAGAAAGTTGGGACAAGCCCCTGAAACGGAAGCAGCACAGGAGAGACTGTGTGTCGAAATGGTGAGAAAAATCTTTATTATTAGAGAAGAGAAAACCTCAGAGTTAAAATAAAATTGAAGACACAAGGAAACAAGTGGCAAATTTACCCTGATTTAAAACTATCGTGTTATCTTTTTCATTTTAATTTTGTTTGTTTTTTATGGATGGAATTTTTACAAATGCCTCTTAAACTGGGCTGATCTCCCTCCCCCCTTCTTTTCCCATTTTTTGTGTTTGTGGATTCAAAACCTCTTTCCTCTCAAGGCTCAGCTGGATCATAATCTTTAAGCAATATTTTTTCTCTTTCCGGGATGGGTTTTGTGTGCTGCCTGCATCCCACAGATGGGGCCTTCCTTGTTTGTGCGGACCAGTTTCTGGAGTGTTCTGCTCTATCCAAATCTTCTCAAATATTGACACATTGTGGCCTAGAGGAAAATGGAGATTTCAGCCAGATATATGAAGAGCTTTTGTTGAAGGAGTATTATGCTGGAATGCCATGGTTGGTAGCAAAGCATGGCCAAAGCCATGCAACCAGAGATATCGATCCTCTGACATACCCTTTTCTCTTTCAAGCCTCAGGGTGTGAGAAAATGACATATATTCTCTTAGCAGATGTCTGAATTTATCTCCTACAGGGGATTGTCTATCTCTGGTGACCTCAGTAGCTCTTCTTTTGTCTCTTAATAAGGAATCTAGTATTCCCAGGGAGGAAAGTAAATGAATTTGCTAAAATAATATATCCTCAGTTGAGAGCATACTTTTAATAATGATGTAAATCAATTCAATATGTACAGCTTCTAGCTTTTATTTTAATCTCTTCTTTTGTTATGAAAACTTTTTATTTATAAATTTGATTCTTGCATTTCCTCTTGTGAATATTTCCTTAACCAAGAAATATTTTATGGTCTTCGCCATATTTATACTTTGTTGTTAAAGCCAAGTCTAGTTCTTCTCCTATACACCCAAGTTAAATATTATCACATCAGATGACAATAAATCTTCTATAACTAATGCAGCCTCCAACATTGTTAGAAAGATGCTTAAAATTTACTTTGCAATTAAAAATGGCAAGCACCCAAGTGAGAAGACATTTGAAATAACATTGTAATTTTTTTTTTGAAATAGCTAAGACTAAGGAGGAAGACTAAAGGAAGAAAATGGGAAGGAGTAGCGTTAGATATTTTTCTTCAGTTTGCCTAAACTGGGAACACTCCAGGTTGCGGGTTTCCCTTTCTATAGTTGCCATCCATCGCCTTGGTGGTTGAGTGTGAGAGAGTTCAGCAAGTGGGTGAAACAGCACAATGCAGAGTGGGGGCCATTGAAAAGAAACATTCCCCCTTAACTGGTTTACTATAGTTATTGGAAACATATTTCTTTGAATATTATGTTGATTACTCTGACAAAATGACTATCCAAAATTTGTGTAATTCTTGCTTCTTGAGTTTGCCAGCCTTGTAGCATTGGGGAGTTTTGAAATTTACTTCAGAAATATGGAGGCTATCCAGGTTGGGGAAACAGCAGATTTTTGTACTGGACATGTAGCTTTTCTTTCTACCAATGTTGCTTTCAATATTGAGCAGATCACTACTAGCTTAGCTTTAACAAAGATGGTACAACAGTGTCTTTACACATCGTCTGCAGTTGTGAGGGAAGAAATGTACTGTATGGTTCTTCTCTCTGTTTATCTACTCTGTTTTTCTTCCCCAGCGGGGAATTCATTTTTCTATTATCTCTCCACGGAAACTGCCAGCTTTGCGCATTCTCTTTGAGAAATCTGTGACAGGGAACATGTTGGAGACTCAATTGAAAGACTACAGCCAGGATCCCCGACACATGATCCTTATCCGTGGTATGGTACTTCCAGGTAAGACCTGATCTTGGAAATGTGGATGAGACTAAAATAGATCATACTGGATTGTTACAAGTTTAACCTAGAGAAGAATGAAAAAAGCAATACAGGGTGTTTAGTATCCCACAAAGGGCAAGGAAGGGAGGAGAGACGGTAATGAGATTTGATATTGGTCCTTGGACTTGCCTGACTCTTTCCCTATTACAACTTGGAATTAATTACATGATCATTAAGTTCATGTTGTAATCATCTGATTAGGTTTCCAGGGAGATTCTCAGTCATCCAGGTCAGGGTTGTCCCAAAGATGACTTTTTCAAAAGGCAACTGGACTTTGTTTTTCCTTGAAACTATTTCACTACTCATTCAAGAAGCTTCTTGAATGAGAAGCAAAATGTCTTCAAGGAAAAACAAAAACAAAGTTGCATTTTGAAAAGCTAGCTTGGGACATCTGATTAGATTAAGACTTGTTGTATTTAGAGTGGATTTATTAAAATTAATGGGTCTAATCACAGCTAATATAACTCCAATGTATTTAATTGTACCTGCTCCTCTTTCTCCTCCTTGAAATTGGGGTGGGAGGGAGATATGGGGAGTACTCTTTGTCATCATTCACCCACACTACTTTTTTCCACAGCAAGCATTTCAATTTTCTGCCTTGTCTCCATGGTAGCCCAAATTTGTTTTCCAAAGGGATCCTGTCTTCAAAGTCAAGAATTGGGCTTGTTTAGGGTGGGTTTTTTTTGCGGGGGGGGGGGAGGCTTTTTATAATCATGAAGTAATTCAAGAGGGAAAAGAATCATGACAATCGTTTTAGATTTCAGTGCTCCAGGAATCTCCAGTTTTCCCTTTTATCAGAAGTCCAGATTATCAGCTTTTATGCACTCTGTTTTACTGTCCAAAATGCCAAGCAATAAGTCCTGGAAAATAGAGGAATAGCTATTTTTAGAAAAAGGATTTCAGTGCATTTTTGTTTCTGATTTTTCTTTACTAGCAGAAGCAGAAGCAAATTTAAATAGGAGACTGATCAGGCTACAAAAATATGCTTGAACTTACACAAACCATCAAATCCAGATATCATAGTAAAAGTATCTATGGCCCTCCAACTAGAATAAGTAGGAGCTATATCTAACATTTTCATTTGATTCGTTCACATACTTATTTTTCTAATTTAAAAAATTGGAATTCAGCATTTTAGAAATAATGCATTAAATTGTAAAAGCATTACAAGTAATACTGACCAAGGCCAGCTTCGGTTTCTTTATTTTAATTCATTTTTAAGTTTAGTATGCTAGTATGTTTCTCTTGGCTACAATGATTGCATTGGAATGGATAACTTGTTGGTGCCAAGAATGAGCCATAGCATTTTTGGTTGTGGGGAATGGTTTCAGGACATATTGCAGTATAGCTAGGACTTGCTTATTTTATTTTATTTATACAAATATTGTTATAGCTAACTCATTTGAGTGAGTGATTTTATCACAACAGTGAGAGCCAAAATATGAAAATAGTTTTCAAGTTCCAATGTATCACCAAGTCATGTAAAAACAATGATCTATGATCAAATTGTTTTTTAAAAAGGAATTATATACCTTCTATTATTTGTTTCTAGGTTTGTTTGTTTATTTTGTCAAGAGCCACTTATTTCCCTCACAGAGGACCTCTGGGCGGTGTTCAATAAAATATTAAAAGCATAAAAAATATATAAAATTTTAAATGTATGTTAAGAATTGGTTAAAAGAAGAGGAGGCTTTTATAGCACCAGCCAGCCTCTTGGCTCCACACTTATATGTGCACCCCAAGCAAGGGTGCAAAGCCACGTTTTTACATCTTTATGGAAGGCCAAGAGAAGGCAGCTCATCTCATCTCCAGAGGAGGCAGTATTTCACAGGGCATGGACAACAGTAGAGAAGGCTCTTCTCCTGGATCCCACCAATTGGAATTCTTTGGCTGCCACATACCTTCCCTGCCTGACTGGGTGGGGCAAGCCGATGTAATGGGATGAAGACTGTTCCCATATGCCGAACGTTTAATGGAATGAAATAATAAAGGATACATGCTGTGGGTCCCATCAGCCCAATTTTTCCAGTTCGTGGGGTCCAGGAGGAAGGCCTTCTCTACTGTTGCTTCTGCCCCATGGAACATCTTGTCCCCCCGATGTGAAGTTGGTCCCAACCCTCCTAACTTTTCGTAAGGGCCTAAAGATGTGGTTGTGCCTGTCGGCTTGGGGCCCCAATGGCGGATCAGCCCAATGGAGGTGGTTGATTGAGTAATAACAGATCTCATCTTTCCCCCACTTCACTCCCGCCCTCTTTAGGTCTTTGGTTTCAATGTTTAATTTTAACTTTTCATGTTTAATTTAGATGTAGCTGTAAGCCACCCAGAGTTACCCTATGGTAAGATGGGCGGCCAATAAGTTTTACAAATGAATGAATGAATAACAGCATAACAAAGTTGGAAGGGACCTTGGTGGTCTTCTAGTCCAACCCCTGCTCAAGATTAAAGGGGATGGCAGGGGTGACGTCGCTATGACACGACATTCAATCTTGGAATTCCAGGATTGTTGTCAATATCTCTGCTACTGGATGGTCCTTTTGGACCTAAACCGTCCCATAGAGATGGTGATAAAGAAGGGCACATCCTGCTGATCTCAGGGATATCGCAAAGTCCCTGGTTGATCCAGGAGAAGCTCTTTTTTCCGGCAACAATGAGAACCAGCCATTGAAGCTGCAGAAGGTTGGGACAGCCCCTGAACAGAAAAGCAGGAGAGAGAGTGTGTTGAAATGGTGAGATATTTTACTATTAGAGAACACCCAAAAGACTTAGAGTAAAATTAAAATTGAAGATAGAAGAGAGTAAACGGCGAATTAATCCTGTGTTAATCCCTTAGTGTGTTATCTTTTTTTAATTTAGCTTTTTTTTCTTAGGGATGGGATTTTTACAAATGCCTCTTTCTTTTTAAATTGGACTGGTTTCGTTTTTCCCTCTTCTATTTTTCCTCTTTTTTCATATTTGTAGAATACGATTTTCTTTCTTCTCTTTTTACAACGCTTGGCTGGATTGTTAGTTTTTAAGCACTTTTTCTTCAAGCCCAGAATTTAAAGAGAGGGGTAGAGGCAGAGGAAAAAGAAGCAACACTGCCATCTAGAAGCTGTAGGCTTTTTTTATTTCTTTTGAACATTTGACTCATATTTAATACTTCAAGGCTACTGATAATGGGAAGAGTACGAATTGTTTATACAGGTGCTCTTCTGGAGTACTATCAATAGCTGGACTGGAGTAAAGAGAAAACTTTGACTTGAAAGATTATAGTGAACTTGTTTGAAACTTAACAAAAAAGCTTTGGATGTTTTAGTGGCAGTGTTTATAACCTGGAAGAATGGCGCAAATGAAGAAGAAAAACAATTAACATTGCAAATGATTATGTTTGAAATTCAAAAAGTACAAATAAGTGCAAAAACATTGAAAAGGGAATGAAGAACAGAACAAAAAAACAGAAAAAATAGAGGGAAGAGTTGAGAATATTTATAAAATGATGATGAAATTTGAAGATAGAGTTCAAAAAAAATATGAACAAAGTGATAAGAAAATTGTTGATATTGACATTAATGGAATGTTGAAAGGAGAGATTAACGAACTGGAACCCTATCTCAAACCTCAAAACATGGAAGAAGAGAAGGGAAAAAAATTGGCAGAAACAATGAGATAAATTTTGGCAGAAGCACCAGTGATAACTAAAGCCAAGCGGATGGAAGGAACAGATGGAGGGTTTCGAGTCTTTATAAGATACGCAAGGAACAACAAGGTGCCAAGAGAAGTCCAAACAAGACTTATTATACAAATACCACAAATGGCAAGATATATAGTCTGCACTACTACTGGAAGGATACAGGATGAAGAAATGAAATGTTAGAATAAAAATTAAGTTAAATTTGGTTAAAATTAGAGTATTATGTATAAAATAAAGTAATAATAGTTATAGCTAAATAAATGATTAATAATTGTAATAATGCATATATATATACACTAGATTGATAATATGAAATTTGAATGTTCTATAATGCAGGGGAGCATGATAGAAATAAGGTTTGTGAAGTTTCATCTCCTTCACATGCTTGTATTTGTGTATGTATATGAACAAGATGTAATTGGCAGTAGGGAATGTGCCCTTTTGATGATGAATAATATCTCTTGCAAATCCTGTATATTACTTATTGTGTATACTTAATGTCAACCTCTCTTATTTGCATGCAGTAGGAGGAGCAGGAGCAACCAATAACAACCTGCAGCCCAAACAACCTGTATCCCAGCCTCCCCCAGTTCCTCCTCCACTCCCTCCGGCACAACCACAAGTTCTGCCACAGGTTTCTCAGCCGTATCAGGTACATCCTTTGCCCTCAAGTAACAAATGGGTTGGGACCTTTCCTTTCTTTTCCTGATTACTTCTTTCTGGTTTAGGTTACACAATCCACTACTCTTACTGCGGCGCAGGCAGCTGCTCAGTCTGCTGTGGACGCTGCCAAGAACCAAAAGGCTGCTCTAGTCACCCGCTGTAAGTCCCTATGTGTCTCCCAGGATTGGGGCTGAAAGCAGTGCTTTCAAAGTTTAGGCTTGGAGTTGGGAAGGATATTAGAACTGAGGACAAAAAAGTATCAGAAGTGGTGATGATTATGGATGGTGATTTACACATCCATGTTTTTTCTTCCTTCCTTCTGAACAGTCCCTTCGTTGAATACCATGCAACCAGCTTTCAGTCAACCTCCTCCGCAGACCCTTCCAACAGGCTCCGTTCCAGCTCTGACTCAAAAGCTCCCTGCCTCGTCCCAGTCTAGTCTGGTCTCCACAGTAACCACAGGCTCTGGCCTGCTGGTTCAGCCACCTGTGCAAGCCTCCCCACAATCTGGTGCATCAGCCATGGTACATATGGGTCCTGATAGTTTTGGCAGTGGGAGGCAGACACTCACATAAATCTTACCATTTTTTCCTTCAGGATGTGACTGGCTTGCCAACTGACTTTTGTGCGTCTCTTCTTCCTCTACCCAGACTAGTGGTGTGCCTCCCAACAGTATGAATGTGACTCAGCCAACACAGGCACAAATTGGAGCACCCCAGCAATCTATCCCAAACAAAGTGATGGCATGGAGTGGGGTGCTGGAATGGCAGGAGGTGAGAGCTGAATTGTGGAAGAGTAAGAAGAAAGATTCGTAGGAGCTCCTTACCCTGATGCATTTTGACCATGTATCCCATCCTCTTTTCCTAGAAGCCGAAGCCAACTTCTGTGGATTCCAATACTAAGCTCACACGTTCCCTGCCTTGCCAGGTGTATGTCAATCAAGGAGAGAACTTGTGAGTGCCTCTGGATCATTTAACAGAAAAAAGACACATTGTTGCTTATTTGAGAGCAGGGAGATGGAATCAAAACTGATGTCCTGATACTGATAGAAACAAGCTGAATTTTGGAGGATTTATGATGGAAGAAGGCAGAAAAATATATCAGAGGTGCAATGAGTAGGAAGTAGTCAATCCTAATACATCGCCATCGTGTCTATTTGGATAGTTTTCTTCTAGCCACAGGCTATCTTTTTAATTTATAAGGTCTTTTGTGAAAATGGAGTCTGAATGGAACTAACAAAGGGAGTGGAACTAACTTTCAAAAGTTAGGAATTCTGGAGCAAGTTCTTTTTCCCCTCCCTCTTGAAAAAAAAAACCTATACAACTAATCGAGTAGAACTTTTGTCGTGATTATACAGTGGGGCAAAAAAGTATTTAGTCAGCCACCAATTGTGCAAGTTCTCCCACTTAAAAAGATGAGAGAGATCTGTAATTGACATCATAAGTAGACCTCAACTATGAGCGACAAAATGAGAAAACAAATCCAATCACATTGTCTGATTTGGAAAGATTTTTTTTGCAAATTATGGTGGAAAGTAAGTATTTGGTCACCTACAAACAAGCACGATTTCTAGCTCTCACAGACCTGTAACAACTTCTTTAAGAGCTCCTCTGTCCTCCACTCATTACCTGTATTAATGACACCTGTTTGAGCTTGTTAGCAGTATAAAAGACACCTGTCCACAACCTCAAACAGTCACACTCCAACTCCACTATGGTGAAGACCAAAGAGCTGTCGAAGGACACCAGAAACAAAATTGTAGACCTGCATCAGGCTGGGAACACTGAATCTGCAATAGGCAAGCAGCTTGGTGTGAAGAAATCAACTGTGGGAGCAATAATTAGAAAATGGCATACAAGACCACTGATAATCTCCCTTGATCTGGGGCTCCATGCAAGATCTCACCCCATGGGGTCAAATGATCACAAGAACGGTGAGCAAAAATCCCAGAACCACACGGGGGGACTTAGTGAATGACCTGCAGAGAGCTGGGACCAAGGTAACAAAGGCTACCATCAGTAACACACTATGCCGCCAGGGACTCAGATCCTGCAGTGCCAGACGTGTTCCCTGCTTAAGCCAATACATGTCCGGGTGCATCTGAAGTTTGCTAGAGAGCATTTGGATGATCCAGAAGAGGATTGGGAGAATGTCATATGGTCAGATGAATCCAAAGTAGAACTGTTTGGTAGAAACACAACTCGTCGTGTTTGGAGGAGAGAGAATGCTGAGTTGCATCCAAAGAACACCATAACTACTGTGACGCACGGGGATGACAACAACATACTTGGGGGCTGTTTCTCTGCAAAGGGTCCAGACCGACTGATCCGTGTACAGGAAAGAATGAATGGGGCCATGTATCGTGAGATTTTGAGTGCAAACCTCCTTCCATCAGCAAGGGCATTGAAGATGAAATGTGGCTGGGTCTTTTAGCATGACAATGATCCTAAACATACCGCCCGGGCAACGAAGGAGTGGCTTCGTAAGAAGCATTTCAAGGTCCTGGATTGGCCTAGCCAGACTCCAGATCTCAACCCCATAGAAAACCTTTGGAGGGAGTTGAAAGTCCGTGTTGCCCAGTGACAGCCCCAAAACATCACTGCTCTAGAGGAGATCTGCATGGAGGAATGGGCCAACATACCAGCAACAATTTGTGCCAACCTTGTGAAGACTTATAGAAAACTTTTGACCTCTGTCATTGTCAACAAAGGATATATAACAAAGTATTGAGATGAACTTTTGATATTGACCAAATACTTATTTTCCACCATAATTTGCAAAAAAAAATATTTCCAAATCAGACAATGTGATTCGATTTGTTTTCTCATTTTGTCTCATAGTTGAGGTCTACCTATGATGTCAATTACAGGCCTCTCTCATCTTTTTAAGTGGGAGAACTTGCACAATTGGTGGCTGACTAAATACTTTTTTACCCCACTGTATTTTTGAACCCTCCTTCTCTAAAGAACCTTCCGACTATGTCTCAGATTAAACCATGGCGGGATGCTGATTTCCCACCTAGGAATCTTTAAGCCAGTGTTTTAAACTAGGTTGGTTGGGGAATTTTGAAAACTGACATTGACTCATCTTGAAGTTGCTACTACATGGTGAATATATAGTATAAATGCTCCTTGCTATTGTATTTCCTACTTTGGTTTTTAATTGCTTCCAAATTTGTGAAAATTATTACTTTTAGCTGTATGTAGTTTTGAATGTTTTAATAGGCGATGTTTAAAATAGATGAAACAAGTTAGATGTGTAACAAAATGTTGCAGTATTCAGTGTCATCAGTGTTTCAGTCAGTCATGTCCTTCTCCGTGATACTCTGTCCAATTTCCTCATTTACCTGAGTCGCTTCTCACTAAGACAGTCATCATTCCTCAGCTCTTAAGCACATTCAGTCCTCTGAGCTACCTGTCTTCTATAAGGAACAAAAAAATTTTTGTTCCTCTGCAGACTTTTTATATGATACTATTTTGGAAATATTATTCCTGACCCTGGTTTTATTCTCCCCAGGCAGTCCTGTGTAATCCTTAGATTTTTTTTAAAAAAAATCTAGCTTTCATAAATATTTGTTGATAAACTAACCAATAAAAGTGAAGCATGCAACAACTGTTAAAAGCAATATGTTAATACAATACCTTGAGTACATTAATATTTGGAAAATTGTATTTTCAGTTGTTTATATTTGTTAGATGATAACAATATCAGAGGTGGGATGAGAAATGCACAGCTGACTCTCCTCTCCTTGTTCTCTTGCAGGAAAGCTGAGCAGTGGCCCCAGAAGCTCATTATGCAGTTAATTCCCCAACAGCTCTTGGTAAGTGAAATGTATGGGGTTTCTGAAGGCAAACACTTCACAGGCCTGTGTAACATTTTGAATGGCACCCTGATATTGTCAAAATCTTTTAAGAGCTACCAAAGTAAATATAGTGGCACTGGTTAGAACTTTGATCTGTACACAGTCATCTACAGGGATCAGTGTGGAGACAAGTGTAAATCAGTGTTCCTCAACCTTAGCAACTTTAAAATATGCAGACTTCAACTCCCATAATTTCCTAGTCAGCTATGATAATGGGAATTCTGGGAATTGAAACCTGCATATCCTAACATTGTCAAGGTTGAGAAATGCTGGTCTAAATTCACCCTCTTCCCATCTCACTTAATCTGCCCTGCCCAGTTTTCAGGATTAAGTTAAAATCTTACTCTCATCCCATGAGTCTTTTTTCTAGTGCCTTTTCCTTCATTATTAAGAACAGCAAAGAAACATTGATATTAAACTTAGCTTTGCAGATGACGTGAGGGGCATTTGAATAAAGAGGCTAGTTCTTAAGATTTATGGTAATATTGAGGCTAGTTCTAACAAATCTGATTTATGCCCTTTATTGGGCATGCTATTCTTGTTGCTATAGTGATCTTAGTTGTAACTATGGATATGGGAACAGCCTTGCCATACTGAACATTTTTTATAAGGATTAAACAGTGAAAGGTGGTCTGCTTCTATGGGCATGACAGATGCCACACTACAGGTGGGCAGGCTTTTCTTCTGGAAGTCTTGTGTGTTATGAGGAAAAAAAGGGTATATTGTTAAGTTGGTGGTGTCTGAAACTTCTAGCCTGCCTATTTTTAAATCTCTTGTATTATTATCTATACCGTATTTTTTGGAGTATAAGATGCTCCAAAGTATAAGATGCACCTAGATTTTGGGGAGGAAAACAAGGGGAAAATATCTGCCTCTGTCTCCCAGCAATTCGCCTCCTTGCAACAACAGTACAGACAATATACACTGTTTGTAGTGTTATATTTGAGACTATACTTGTACAGACACTGTTAAAATGTATTTTCTGGAAGTACAGTTATTCTCTGCTATTTAAAAGAATAGCACTTTTTAAAACAATAGCACTGGGCCTCTTCAGATCAAGCATTTATTTTAAAAAGCCTCTTCATTTTGTTAAGTTGTCTCGAATAATAATAAAGCAGTCTTTAAAAAATAAGTACAGTCCTTAAAAAATAATTTGAACATTCTATAGGCATTTATAGTTATTGACTTACCTCCTTGCAGCAAACAGCCTGATTAGCACAAGGGGGAAAAATCTGCTTCCCACCAATTTGCCATGTGGAGCAAACAGCTAGTTTCACTTTCAATTTCTCTGGATCATCAGCTGTTACAGGCTGCAGGGATTGCGATAGCTTATTGAAGCCCAGTTTGCTGCAAAGAGGTAAATTGCTAGTAAATTGCTAGAAGGCAGAGGCCAAAGGGTTGGGGCCGGTGGGTGGGTGGGACTACATTCGGTGTATAAGATGCACCCAAATTTTCACCCTCTTTTAGGGGGGAAAGGTGCATCTTATACTCCGAAAAATACGGTAAGTTCTTGTATTTTTACAGTAAGTCTATAGAATTAGTATTATAGGATAGTTTTTGTCCTTCAGCTTTATTTTTTAGCATCGCTGGATTTCCCAGAAATTTGTCTTAATTGAAATTATTGACAAATTAGCATGGCTTGGAGTATATACAGATTCGGTTCCACCTGAATTAATCCATTTCTTCTTCACAGACAACTCTGGGTCACCTGTTCCGCAATTCTCGCATGGTGCAGTTCCATTTCACCAATAAAGACTTGGAATCCCTCAAGGGACTGTATCGCATCATGGGCAATGGATTTGTAAGATTCTACAATTGCTGGGATGTGGACATGGTTAAAAGAGATTCAACTAAGTTGAAGAAGTAGAGGCTTCCAGTTGAGGCTTGGTCATGATGGACAATTTAAGGCAGCCTGTTTTCTTTCCTGCTTGGAAAGCTGCCTGATGAGTAAACTGATACATATAACTGCATATACTGGTACTCCAGTACATAAAATTTCTAATATTATTGACACTTTTTAGAAAGTGGTTTTAATGGAAAATGTCTTAGCATGTTGGTGAAGTTACTTGCCTGGGATGTTATAAATCCCGGAATTGAATTCACTTGCTCAGGATAATATAAATCCTGGAATTATAACTGGTAAATCATGACATATTACTGACATATCAGTGGGGCTCCTTATTCTCTCAAGATTGCTAGAAGAGATCCTTTAATGGTAGTGTTGAAGTGGGATGATTAGTGAGGATCTTCTCAGTTTGGGTGACATTATAGAGATCCCTGATTTTGAGGATTCATTAGTAGTTCAGTTTATAAATTGCATTAAATTGCAATTCATCTGTGTTCTTCTGTTTTTCCTGGTGCATTTAGTTTGGGCCAATGTAGTTTTTTAAAAATTTCTTCTTGACTTTTATATCTTTTTCTGATATTAAATGACTTTGTGATCCCTGAGAGAAGAGCAATACAGCATACAAATGTAAATAACATGGGGCAAAAGAATTTCATCTTGAAAGAACATTTCTCAGAAACCGCCACCCTTTAGCCGATGCACTTTTCTTGTCACATGAGCAGGCAGGCTGTGTCCACTTCCCTCACACAACACCTTGTGAGGTGCGAGTTCTGATGCTGCTGTACTCCTCCAAGAAGAAAATCTTCATGGGGCTCATTCCTTATGACCAGAGTGGTTTTGTCAACGGGATCCGCCAAGTCATCACTAATCATAAACAAGTTCAGCAGCAAAAGGTCAGTAGCTGATTCTCTTGGTCTTATTTCCCTCCTCCCCCTTCAGCTGTATGTTCAAGCTTTTCAGCAGACTGAATCTGTTGAATTCTAGAGCTATGTCAGGTGTGTTCCCTAAGAGAAATACCAGTTTTGTCTCCAAAATTATAGGCTTCCCTATACTTCTAGTTAGTATATTTTGTGTTCATAATTTGTTAATAAACTGGGAGATAAGATCTATTGATATTCAGCTATTCTGTATCAAATTTCTGCCTTGGAATTCTATGTAATGAAAAAACAGAAGAGAAATTTTATAACTGAAAATTACTTCTGGGTGTCTTGAACAATTACCACATTTCATAAGTTTCATTTAATACATTACTTACAGTATTTTTTGCTTGGTAATAAATTGAAGCTATGCCATTTCTAAGCATATAGCACCTTTAGCTTTAATTCCTCGACCAACATTTTTGCGTTTGTACAGAATGTTTTATTTGTGCTTCTGTATGGGAGTACATTCAAAATATTTTGGACTATGAAACATTTAACACTAGCAGTGTGTAATGCTACAGTTAACTCCAGAAGGCTGTAATTTATTTATTCTCCATCTCTCTTTATAGCAGATGGGGGGTTCTCAGCCCATGGGGTCCACACCCAACACACAATCCTTCCTGACAAAGCAGCCTGGCACTTTGCCAGTAACTCCAGGAGTCCAGCAGCAGGTAAGGCATTAAGCAGAGTAGATTTTGCCCTGACTGCCTTTGGGCAATAGTCACAGAAGAAAGCTAAATGATCTTGACATCATGCCTAGGCTTAGAACTGCATTACCTGTCTCCTTGCCTCATTGGCCACTCCTTATTGGATTTGCCCCTCCCTTTATCTTTTTGCAGATGGGTGGGCAACAGGTGAGCCCCGGTATGCCTCAGGTGGGAATCATGGAAGAACGGCAACAGGGTTTGGTGAGTCCTTTGTGGAGGTGGAAGCTGTTACATTTTTTCTAAGTGGATTCATCCCATCTTTGAATCATTATTTTCTTGCAGCTCCACTTTTTTGGTCCTATAAGATCGTGCTCTGGATGGAAAGAGGATGGAGGCTAAGCAAATTTATCTCTGGATTAATTCAATAGTCTCATTTCATAACTGAGTGGTACACAAGCTAAGACCTCGGGACCCTGCACATAGGCTCCCATACCCTGCCAAATATTGCCAACAAACTAAATTTAAGATGATAAGTGGGAAAGATGTTGTTTAAGAAAGAATGTCATTTAACTATTAAACAAATTTAATGTATTTTTCACTACGCTGTAATTAGAAAGATGGCCTTCAGCATGACATATACCACATCACCCTAAAGGAAAACACTATTTTGGTTGGAGTTGCCCCATGCTTGTCTGGCTTTTCATATACAGGCCCTCTTTCTTTTTTTCAGTCTATTGATGAAGAACACAAATATGTTCCTATTATGGTTCATTTTCTCCCAAATATTATTTTGGCTTGAAATGACTTTCCCTTATTTAACTGGCCTTCAGGCAAGGTCTCTTTGTGTCTTTAAATTATTTGGTCACTGCAGAAGTCCTTCAGCTGCACTCCACATAGTGAGATCAGCAAATCCCTGTCAAAAAGTCACCTTTTTAGCACTAACCCCATGTTTTTTGGTGGTTACCTACAATACCTTTGCATTGGTCTCCAGATTTATGGGAAATAATTCCTTTGTAGATTCTTGCAAGCAATGAAATATTTCTTTTCCTTTTCATAGTTGCAGCTCCGAGTGCAGCAACCTCAGCCAGCTGCCCCACCAACCTCCACAAGCACAGGGTCCCCCACAGGCTGGGCCACAGGCCACCCAAGGAGGGGCCATGCTTAGGCCCCAAAACCCAGGAGCCAACCCTCAGCTCCGAAGTCTTCTTCTAAGCCAACAACCGGTGAGTGCTATCTTTTGCTCTCCGCAAGCCCCCCACCCCACCCACCCCATTCTTTTCCACTTTTTAAAACTGAAGAAGTTTGCTGGAATATTAGAGCAGTCTAGCACCGCAGCTCCTTTGCTTCTAAGAGCAAAGAGAAGTGGCTGCATTGCTTAGCTTAGCACTTGTAATAGTCCGAAAAGAATGCTATGCTTCCCTCTTCTTTTATATACAGCCCCAAGCTGGAGTCCCTCAATCCCAGCAGCCCCTTCACCACCTACAACAAGGGTCTTCAGGAATGTTACCACACCAGTCCATGGGGCAGACTCTTGGGCATCAGCCTCCTGGGCAGCAACAGCTCCAGCTTCCTGGACAGCTTCTCATGCACCAAGCTCTTGGGCAGCAGTGGCCAGCCCAGATGGCACCACGGCCACAATTGCAAGGTATGGGCAGGCTTGGTCTGAATTAACCAAAAATAAAAACTGCTACTCCCCTCCCAGAAACAGCTGCAAGCTGCTGAGAGTTGGGATAGGATTTTTTCTTTTGGCGAAAGGAGCTATTTCTTTCATCAAGGGACATTAACTTGCAGATGTGGGGGAGATAGGTTGGACAGGAACATATGTCACTATCTAGTTGAGCAGGTTATTATCTATAGAACACGGGCAACAGATGTGAAATATAGTAATGTATAGAGGTAAAAGCTGTGATGATGCTATTTCCTGATGTTCTAGCTATCTTAAGAGGGATTCATACATAAGCTATTTCTGGGGATGGAAGAGAAACAAAGGCACAAATCTTTTATTAGACTTCTGGGTAAAGCATTTGTTCAGAATGCCCCAGTGGATATAAAAGTAAGCAGAATACTATAGCTAATCCTGTAACCAAAGTTTCTTCACTGTTGTTCTAAAGCCTCTTGGTGTTGTCCCTTCTCTCCCAGGTCAAATGTTAATGAACCCTGGTCCCCGGGGGCCTGTTTCTCAACCAGGCCTGCAGCAGGTTCCTGCCCCCAGCATCATGGAAGATGACATCCTCAGAGACCTCATCTGAGGACGCAGGAGGATATTCCTCCAATGTCACCCAGTGCTGAAATCATCTCTGTAAATTGGGAAGGTACTTCCTTTCCAGAGAATATTTTTTTTCTCATTTGTAATTTTTTTTGTTCTTCTATTAAGAAATATTACACACTTTCATTGAAGTTGGTCTTTCCTGAGATTCATTCTGTTTCTCACTCCATCTGCTGCAATTTTAGGAATGTCACCCAGTTCTGCTGTGTTGTAGGGCACACTAAGAGTTCAGTCCAGCTTCCCAAGTTCCTCAGTGGGTTTTCAATTAATATTGGTATGGAAATATAATTGAATGAAAGGAGAGGGAAAATAAAAATGATCCTGTTGTGAGATATGTTGTGAGATATTGGAGAGATCCAATATCTCTCAAAGAGTATATATCTAATGATCCAAAGCATGAGTGTCAAACTGACAGCGTACAGGCCAGATCTGTCATGTACAGCCACACCCATCCCAGCTCAACCAAGGAAAAAATGTTGATACATCATGTGATGGCAACATGATGTGGCGAGTTTGACACTCGTCTTTCAAAGGAGGAGTTATTTTAATAGGTATATCAGAGGAAAAAAGGCATGAGAAGTTTATTTTCCTCAGCATCTCACATTTGAGATGTGAACCTTCTGCACCTTCCATTCTCCTCAGCAGGCAGGAGTTCAAACCCTGATTGGAACCCTAATTCAAATATCACTTCCTTATAAATCCCTACAATAATCCTTCTTTTGGTTTACAACTGTCCAAATTATAGCAACCCATATACATTGTATTCAAATTCAGGAATGGAGCAGTGGCCTAGAAGTGGAACTCTCGCCTCACAATCAGGAGGCTGAGAGTTCGATCCTAGGTAGAGGCAGATATTTCTCTCTCTGGGCACACTGAGAATATATCTGTTGAACAAAACTCTGCATTGGTGACAGGAAGGGCATCCAGCCATTAAAACACTAGCTCTTCAGCTATTCAGACTCCACCCTGCAAGGGATTATGGGGTCATTAAAAGATGATACATTGTATTCAAATTAGCTTTCCAAACGCATAACGGTTTGGCTACAACAGAGGCTTTCATAGGGAAGAAGTAAAAATCTAAGTCCAGGATGCTACATTTCATTTTAGAGTTTATCCTTCTCAGAAACAGAGATAATATAAGATTATAATCAGAGTGAGTTCTTTTAATATATGAACCTGATGGAAAAGTAGATGGAGTGAACATGCAAGGACTGGATTGAAGTATGTCAGTTACATTCAATAAAGCATTTCTACAAGCATATGCACTATTGTTGGCCTAGCAGGCATTTATTAGTCACCCTTCTTTATTAGGCAAGGAGATTTTGGTTGCTACAGGAGTCAGGCCCAATGCCCTGAACAGTACAGTCACTGGAATCCATGTTACATAGGTCACAATGACAACTGAGAGCTACAGGGTAGATGAAAGATGGATCAACATCTGGGGGACAGCCTTGCAGAAGTGCAGTCTCATATTGTATTTCTTTGTAAGTGCAGACCTTTTGTCTGAAGGAGGTGAAGAGAGGCTTCCACAGTATATCCTGTAAAAGACAGAGAGATTAGCTAGACATGACAGGCTTTTTCATGGGGCAGCACCCAAAAATGTCACAGGTGCCATCCTTCTGCCTAGTGTTGGTCTAATTTCGTTTACCTGCCTATTTGCGTGTGTATGGCTTGCTACTACCACAAACATGCTGCTACCAGAAACCTCCTGAGGTCCCTTCTCAATGCTACCAAAACTGGGAAATTGGTGGGACATTCACTGCCTTTCTGGAGAGTAGTAGGACAATGTAATGGCACACTGGGCAGCAAAGTGGTCAGATAAAAGCAAATAATGAAGAACTAAGGCTCTCCAAGTGACATTTTCTGTCTGGGAAACTAAGGCTGCACAAAGCCTCTTGATAGAAAGAAGTTGCCTGTTCTTCTAGGATGGACTGCAAAGCCTGCTAGGCTGTAATATGTAACAGGAAATCCACTGTTCAGGGGTGTCTGTATTTTCCCCCCAGTAGTAACCAAGCAAGTGAAGAGCAGTTATCTCCTTGAGTCAAGTAACGCCCTATTTTATGAAGGTTACAATGCCCTTAATGTTAAGGCGCCAAATGGTTAGGAGACTGAGGAGTGGGTAGCTGCAAAGCAAGCTCCCCCCAACCTCCTTTCTGTGCTAATGCTTAAGTACCCCCATGCAGGATTCATGTGCCCATCAACTGAAGTCAACTCTCAAGAGCATCCCCAAAAAGGCATTTTGTCAACCACAAAGTAACAGTTCTAATAAACATAATCTACATCTACAAGATTTTAGAATTCTCTCCAAAAGTCACCAAGATGAGAAAACTATCTGCTGTAAACCAAGGCCATAGTCCCTTTCCTGGCAACTTTATATTACCTGTCCATTATGTCTCTGACTGCAGGAAACAAACAGTAGCAACCCCTATTTAGGGAAATGTGTAGCTATGACTGAATGCAGGTTTTTTTCAAGTCATTGCGTTGGCTTGAGTCTTAAAAGGGTGCTGGGATAGAGGATAGCTTTCTCATACAGGGGCCTTTTGGGCACATAAACTCACCAGGCATTATGGTCATCTGTGCTACCTTGGGACAAGGAACGTTGTCCTAACACTTCTCAATGGTGATTTCTCCCTCATATACCTACCTTGGTATTACAGTAACCACTACAGATGGAAGTGGTGATGGCCATGCAGACAGGGCAGCCATCCTTCTCAGCTGCGATGGTAGCATTGATAGGACGGCAGGCTTGATTGCTGCTGGCCACGCCACTTTGGAGAATGGAACAGTGAGTGGCAGCCAGGAACAAGAAAGTTGCTAGCAACTGATTCTTTGCCTGGATGTAAAAGAGGGAAGAAATGAGAAAGATTTCATTACTTTGGCATCGGTATCAGAACATAGTTTAGAATATCTAAGGGATGTTATGCAAATGGGACTGATATTGTTGGGCAGTATGCACATTTAATAAATTATTATAGCTTCAACAGGTATCTGGTCTGCTGGATCTGCCTTTTATTACTATTGTTTATGAGTCATAGTCATAAGAGACAAACAAAAGAGAATATCTCTGAGCCCAGGATTTTTTGGCAGCACAAATATTGAACTGCATAGATTACAAGGTTTTCACACAAAAGTTCATTCACTGTTCCTCCTAAATTTAGCATCTAATTTAAATATGCAAATATTTGTACTGCTTTCTCTTTAACTATTCATAGTAACCATTTCCAGGTTTCTGATCACTGCCAATTGCCCAAATCTCTGCCCACAGATCGTGACCTGTTTTACCAGTCACTAGTATACCTAAAAAACACTCGGATGCTGAATTTAAAATACTACCAAAATTATTTAATAAATGGACAAAGGTGCCAGAATTGTATTTCTATACTAATTCAAGGAGAGAGCATCAGGGAGGGGGAGGAAAGGGGGAGGGTGTAGGTAGCTGCAGCCTATTTATGAGGGGGTTGGGTGCTCTTCCTGAACTAGGCTTTCTGTAATCATTTAATTTTCAATACCACATAATTGAATTAATATATATAAACCTAAAAACTTAACATAAAATATACTTTTTTTCTGGAAAGATATGGAAACCTTTGAAAAAGATCTGTTTTGTCAATAGTCTGAAGCAGGTATTTTCTCAAGAGTTCATATACCCAATCCATGCTTGCTAAGTAGTGCCTAGTGAAGCACCACAGAATACTTCTTTTCACCAAAACATGTAAAGCAAACTTTCCCCAATGTTGATTGTGTTTATCACAACTTTAGAATTCCTAGCCTGCATGGCTATTTTAAATGTGTCCATCTCATCCTGAAGGCACTCAGAGAAAGCAAACATAAACTTGTTGGATATGAATTGGAAAAAATTGTTCAACCTGTTAGTAAAGACATGTATTTACAGTATCCTCAACAATGCCTAGACTGATTAAAGTGAATCCACCAACTCTTCATGTAGGTAGTTCCTAACCATTGAGAAGCCAATATTAGCCAACAATTAACTTCTTTGCAATGTCCTATTATGCCAAAGCAACATACCATGATCTGAAACATTAGTAGATTATGTTAATGTGCAAGAAATATCATTGACCCAGCTATCTGCCGCCTCATTTGTACATACCTGCATTAACTTCATAGCGTCTCCAGGGCTGTCCTCCAACTGTGGTGTATCTGCCTCTCTCTTGCATTTTTATAGGGCTTTCCCCCCTCCCATCATACAGCTGATAAAAAGACTCAAGGGCAAAAATCTAATAACCAGGATGCAAAAACAACAAAGGATTTTAACAGCATCATCACAGTTCCTGCTGGAAATATTGGTTAACTATTGGCTCCTAGATTAAGGAAGCAACATTTAACCTATTTCATTTCAAGTCTGTATATTGATGTATCTTCATTTAATCAGAAAGTTGCCCAGCTGCTGGACTTTCTCACTCAACTTTACTTCTCCATCTTTGTAACAATATTGTCAAGTGGATATAGTTGAAAGAGACTGAGCTAAGCTCACATTCGTAATTTCAGATGGGGAAAACTAAGCTTCCCAATCTGCTATGGGCAGCAACCTGGATACTATATTACAGTAGGGTTACCAGATTTGAGCTGCAAAAATCCAGATCACCAATTAGGGGAAAGGACTTTTCTGTGCTTTTTTGCTACTATCTAGTGATGATTGATAGTCAGATCACAATGGCTTTTCTAACTAGGATTTATATCTGGCAAGTTTATTCATTTGACACTCTGAAGATTAGACAGGACCCAAATTTTATGAGCAGTAATTGGGATCAAGAATGGTTAGAACATGAAGATCGGAACATACGTTGTAATAATAAAAGTCAATGAGTTTCAAGCATAAGGTAGGTTTTCTTAGAGCGAGAAATGCACTGAATCCTTTGTTAATGGAAAGATGAAATGTGTAAATAACAATAATTATAATATCAACCCGTATCAATCAGTAGCACCAGTCAATGGCATTTGTCTGCATTTTTGAATGTTCAGTAACTGAGTTTCATGTTTAATGAATAAAGTATATAATAATGATATGGCAAAGGCAAGCAATGGTAGTACCAATAATAATAGGCATCTTGGGTGCAATCCCAAAACAACTGAAGCACCACTTGAACACCATAGGCATTGACAAATTTGCCAT